CACAATTGGTGACTGACTAAATACTTTTTTTCCCCACTGTATGTGCAGTCCAGCAACAGACGTATAGCAGTCTTGTCCATATGCATCAATTATTGAAACACACTAATTAAAGTGTTGGAACATTTTGTTCTCAAAAAACATGTTAGGTCTGCATTGAAGAGAAATGTTTGTTATGATTTGTTTTAAATGATTTATTTTAAAAATTCTCTTCACATTTGACACACACAAGACCTGGAGAGAGAAAAGAAACAGAATGCATTGTGAAATGCATTTCTACCCATCCAAAAGAAACAAGTACACAGATAAACTCAGAAAATAAAGTAAAAATGGATATGTAGTTTACTTAAGTACCTCAAATAAAACTTTACATTTCTTTCAGTGATTTTATGTCACTAACCTTTCAAAAGTTGGCAAATCCAGTGATTATTTCAACCTCAAAAAGACCCTGTATCAACCTGGTAAGTACACCTTAGTTTCTAGGTAGACTTTAAAAAAAAAAAGATTTAGATTTATTCACTTTTATCTAAAGACCGAACAGGTACCCTCCGGTTTTGTAAGCATAATGCATCAGATGCATTAATATGTATCTGGTCATCAAATGGACTGTGTGCATCTGTAGGCATGAAACTGAGACTGATGTGATCATGAATTTACTATTTTGTGTGATTTAACTGTAGAAACATTTTATTTTTTACTAGACTTTAACTATATGTCTCTCATTTCAGGGGTGAAAGCTGTGTTCTCCGGGCACTACCACAGAAATGCAGGGGGCTGCTATGATGGGCTGGATATGGTGGTGAGCTCCGCTGTTGGTTGTCAGCTGGGAGATGACTTTCATGGCGTGCGAGTGGTAATAGTTACTGAAGATGACATTATCCATCGCTACCATAGTCTGGACCAATTGACCGAAAGAGGAATGGACGAAGACCTGAAGAAATTGTTGGTTTGAATCCACCTCCAGGTCACTAAACATGTGATTGTATCTTCATATTCAGCGTTCATTCTAGAAACTGAGCCGTTGTTTGTACATTTAGAGCTTTCAGGTGTGTTTTTTACAGGAACGAAAAGAGCCTTACATTCGGAAAACATTAGTAAGCATAAAAAATTAGAACCAGTGGCTCTTTTGATCTTTGATACTCACATCATCTGTCTCCATACTTTAATCATGCAAATGCGTCTGAGAATTCCTTAAACACTGAAGTTAAATCACTGAAGTTAAATCATACTAATGGAGTGAGGGGATGCTAGGGTACAATGGTAGTTTAATAATGCTGAACATTTTGGATGACAGTTTGATGAGTTCACTCCTTGCTC